GTGGGGGGTCCCCGCCCCCCCCCCCCAGCTTCATCTGAGGTAGGACCCAGAGCCCACCCCCACTCCCTGCACCCAGTCTCCAGCCCAGTCCCCTCCTACCCTAATCCCGCCTCCCCCCCGCCCCATACCCCTGTTCACTCACCGTGAGCCCTGAGGAAGCAGCTGGACCATCTGTGCGGTTACTGCTGGTCGTGTTGGCCTCTGGGTTGGAGGGAGGCAAAAGGAATGAAGGGGTTAATCCGGGGGGGTGGGAAATAAACAGCCATGAAGAGGCATGTGCTGGGGCAACCTCCCCTCCCAGGCAAGGCGGTGCTGTGCCTGGATCCACCCCCTCAAGATGCAACCAGCTCTGGGGTGGGGCAGCCGCCCAGGGGAACAGAAAGTGAAGGATCCCCCCCCCCACCTCAGCTGGAGGCAAGCAGCGCACACCCTGCCCCACCCCAAGGGACAGGTGCCCCCAACCCTGCCACCCCCCATAGAACCCAGACATCCTGCCCCCCCCACCTCACCAGCTCTGCCACACCCACCTGACGTATGGCCGAAACTTCCAGGTCTTGAGCAATGGATAGGCTGGTCAGGCCTGATACCATCCTGCAGTTCTTGAGGGACCCACCTCCCTGGAGAGCCCAGGTGTCTGGCCTCCTGCACTATGCCACCCCCCCCCAGCAATCAAACCATATCCCCAAAGTGGTAGAGTGGAGAACCCAGGCAGCCTGGCTCCCATGTCCCCCTGCTCCCCCCCAGCCGACCCCCCCCCCCCCCCCCCCCCCCCCCCCCCCCCCCCCCCCCCCCCCCCCCCCCCCCCCCCCCCCCCCCCCCCCCCCTCACAACTGGAACACAGGGAACCCAGGTATCCTGATACCCCGCCATGCCTGGGAAGTGGGGGTTGGGTATTTACACAGGGGTCCATGGAGGGGGTCCACCTGCTTGGGCAGAGCCTCTTTGTGCCTCACCCAGTTGCCCTACCCGGCCCTGCTACTGACATGCAGCCACCTCTGGGGTGGGGCAGTGGCAGCCACATAGCACAGAGAAAGGGGTGGGGGTCCCTCCTCCATCCAGGCCCATTTCTCTGGCCCCAGGTGCAAGGCACTGTACGTTTTCTTCCTCCCCTCTCCCATGAGCAGGCCCCTAACCCAGCACCTCTGGGGTGGCCCCAAGCTGCTGCTGGCTCTGGTGTGGAACAGGGCAGCTGCACAGCATGAAGTCAGCTCATCCTAACTTGCAGGTACCCCTCCAGACCCTGGCCCTCATCCCCTCCCCTCCCTCTGCCAGGAAGAGAACCCAGGTGTCCTGGCTCCCATCCCCCTTGGCTCATTCACTTACCTTGGCCCAGGGCTGGGTGGACTATGGTCTGTAGCATCGCTGCTAGCAGCAGGGCCAGAGGGGGCAGTTCTGCCATCACCCCCGACTGGGGGGGGATATAGTGACCCCCCCCCCAATTAATCAGCTTCTCAGGGTGGTATATGTAGCCGAGCCTTCGGTGAGATGCAGCTGCTTCTGGGGAAGACCACGGGGTCCCCAACCTGGGGAAGGGGCAGGGGTCGGGCTCAGGAGCAGTGATAGCAGTGGGGGAGGATGCAGCACAGGGCGCTGTACCCATGGGGCAGAGACCCCACTACTCCCTGTGCTGCAGAGAGAGGGGAAACTGAGGCACAGAGAGAGGCCGCAGCAGCAGCACACCCAAAGACTCCCTCGGCCCAGGACATTCTGGGATATGCCCAGTCCCCCCATCTTGATGGTCAATTTTTAAGACCGCAGAGGCGGCCCCACGCGGGGGGTAACCCCTAACGTGCTGTCCCGCCCAGCCATGGGTGTCCC